CTGCCGTACCCCCTGACCAGCAGCTCAGAACCACCCAGGGCTTCTTAAAGTCATCACATACCTTCGTGCCCATGTGCTCCTGTCCACCCTGCCTCGTCACTGAGTCAGTCATCCCCAGCCAGTTAGACATCTGCTCTCTGAAGCTGCCCTTTCCCTCTTCTGTACCACCTCCTCCCCTGGGCCTGTCTCACAGGCACCTCAGTTCTTGCTTAACACTTTTCCCACCAGAACAACTGCAGAGAGAGCCTTGTGTTACAGTTTGGATAGTCCCCCACGCCTCTGCAGTACTGGGGACCCCACATATGCGAGGCAAGGTCTCTATCACTGAGCTACATCCCTAGCTCTGTAGTTTGGATTTGGCATGAACCACAAAGGCCCATGATCTAGAGGTTAGATCCCTAGGAAGGTAATGGAACCTTTAGGAGATGGGGCCTGACGCGAGGTCTTCAGGCCACTGTGGGTGTACTCTGAAGGAATAGTAGGACCCCAGCCCCTTCTTTTCTCTTCTTTGCTCCCTAGTCATAATGTGAGCAGTTTGGCTCATCATGTACTCCTGCCATTGCTATCTGGCACCCCACCCAGAGGTCCAAAATCAAAAGGGCCACACAATCATCAATTAGAACTCCCAAAGCTGTTAGCTAAAATAAACCTTTTCTATTTATAAACTGATTATCTTGGGTATTATGGCTAACATACCTAGTTGATCTGTTCATCCTGGAGTCCAGCATAGTGCCTGGCACACAGTAGTCATTAAATAATAAATGCTTGCTCATGAAATAAGATCATCAGCCAGGCACAGTGGCACATGCCTGCAATCACAGTAACTCGGTAGGCTGAGGCAAGAGGATCTTGAGTTCAAGACCAGCCTCAGTAACCAATAGCAACTTGGCGAGACCCTGACTCAAAATAAAATAAAAGCGCTGGGGATGCAACTCAGTGGTTGAGCGCCCATAGGTTCAATCCCCAGTACCAAAAATAAAAATAAAATTAAAGGAAAAGAAATAAGATAATCAGAGTTGAGTATTTTGTTACTAAATGGGGCTAAAAAAAGAAGAAAATAGGGAAAGCACTTCCTCTCATCTCAGGATTTCTAATCAAATAGTTCCAAGCCTTTTACCAGTCTCAGACATTTACATCCTATTTTAACAAGAGGCAACTGAAGCTACAGGTCAGTCTTCGAAGGGGACTAAAATTGCTTATCAAAGACAGTGGGGGAAAAATATTCAAGACTGAGAAAAAATTATGGCCCTACAAAATTTATACGGGTCCTGCTTATATCTCAAAGCTGCTTGTTCCTCGTCTGTCTGGGATGAAAGAAGACAAAGCAGCTGGGTACAAATCACCCAGCTGGCAGCTAACAGGACCCTGTGTTCAGGACCATGCCGGCTGCACGCATGTGCACGCACTGGCTCCCAACTCAAAGTCCAACAAAAAGGATCCAAAGTGAGGAACAGAGAATGTCAACCCCCAACCCCCTTCGATCGCAGTTCCACTTTCCTGAGCTCTACCTGACTTTCTCTTAACCCATTTTTTCCCAATCGTTCCAGATGGAAACACCTATGAAAACTTAAACTGGGGGACCAATATGGGGACTTCGAAATAATATTTTAAATTTATTATGTTCACAGAATTGAAAACTTGGGAGTTAATGGGTTAAGCCCTGAGAACACTGGTTTATTCTCACACCAGGTGACACAACATTCCCCTGGGTGTCAACCTCCTGCCACTTTCACAAAGCCTCCCTGACTCTCTAGCCCACGTTAATTTTTCTTTTTTGTAATCTTGTGGAATTTCTTGTCTATGTAATTAATTTTGGCATTAAGTCCCTGTTTTATATTATTATCTTTTTCTTAAGAATTTATCTTTCCCTGAAAAGCCTATAAAAAAAGGGGCTGGGGTTGTGGCTCAAGTAGTGGAGTGCTCGCCTAGCATGTGTGAGGCACTGGGTTCGATCCTCAGCACCACATAAAATAAAGATATTGTATCCACCTAAAACTAAGAAACAAATACTTAAAAAAAAGAGCCAATAAGATTTTTAAAAATCATGTTTTGAATCTCTCACCTGATATAGTACTAATCACCAAGTAGGTGCTAAATAAATACTAAGGAGTTGAACTGGTACGTTCCTGGTACATCTCCATGTTCTCTTTGCTGAACCTGGCATTTACTAACAACTCAAGGTCAAGCACATTCACCAAAGAGCAGAGATATCAAAAGAGGCACCCATCAGCACATCTGCCACTGAGTAGGCAGGCCAGCAGGTCCAGAGGTAAAGATCTGTGAGCACTGAACCCTGGGGTGGTCTCAAATCTGACACATGAGCATTTGGGGCTGGGTCCAGGGAATCCCACTTCATAGACTGAGACTCAAGAGATGGAATGTCCTTAAAAAGCCACAAAATGGAAAGGAGAGGGCTGCCAGGGATCTAGACATAAAATCGGCAGGAACACACATGAACGGAGGCCATAAATCCCTCCAGGATGCAGACAATGCCTCAGTGATAAGCATGCAGATTGCACACCTAGTTCAGAAACTCCCCTGAGTTTGCTTGTAATTAAGGGGGTTAGAAAGGTAAAAAAAATATATAAACCCAATTAATCATTTAAATATTTAAAGTCAGATTTTTTCCTCACTCCAGGATTAGTATATTTCATAACGCCAGCCGTCGACAGCCCTGGTTTTTACTGGGGTTCATTTTAGAGCATGTTTAAACTAGTCAGATTGAGTGATGCTTCCAGCAACTAATCGCATGTCAAATAAAAGATATTTTATGTAATAAATTACCGCTACAAGTAATTCAAATGTCATTTATCAGTTTTATTATCAGTCAGGCAAAGTCTTGTTTCTCTATATTAATCAAAATCAAGCTTTTTTTTTTCCCCCTGAGCAGTTTTGACACCTCTTGGCAAAAGTACAGAAGTGAAGAGGCAGAGTCACCCCGAGAGCTGAAAGGAGCAATGTTAACGGTATAAGAAGAATGAAGCTCAAAGGTGACAACTAAAAACTTCAGGTATTTAAAATTACCATTACCATTGTTTTTATACTAGTGTCAAAGCAGGAAGAAGTCTGTCTCTGAGAAGATGTATTTTATTTTTAGGGCTAGGAGACTCAAAAATACTTTCACCTAAATACCTGAGCGTGTAATGCATTTTCTCAGAGCAATCTGGACATGAGAACAATTTAAATGACTGAACTGCCCGCTATCTGCCCCACTCTTTTGCTCCTTTCAAAAAGACTAACAGTTTAACTCTTTGTGTCTCTGGAAAGCAGGCAACACATGCCACTTTAGGCCAACTCCATGACTAACCAGAACAGTTTGCTCTGAGCAAGAAGTTCTCAAATAGTCGAGAGACCTGTTTGGTATTAAGCCTTAGGAGGAAACAGCTGGAACAGAACAGATGTGCATCTCAGAAAATTCTGTACCCCAGCTGCCACTGCCTATCCTCAACAAATCCCATTAAACAGCTTGGCCGAGGGTCTCAACTAAGGAAAAAGTGTGGAAACTTAGCCCTTGGCTAAAAAGAAACACGTAAAGTAAGTTTAGAACCTGAAGCAAATCACAGTGGACTGAAAGAATGCTGGCCAGAAAAGAGAGATGCATGCCATGGACAAGTGGCAGGTTCAGGACCCAGAAGCCCAAACTGGGGCTTGTGTGGAAGCTCTGTCCCTTGCGTCTCAGTCAGGACACCTGTAGGCTGTCTGGCAAGGCTCTGACTGCGAGACACTTGAGTGTATGTGCACAGGCCTCACCCACTCAGCCTTATCCAGAAAGCAGAGGAGGAGGCTATCTAAAGGAGATCTGGGACACCCAAAGTGGACTCTCACACAGTGCCAACCTGGAGGAGGGAAGACCCTGCTGGCTGTGTCAACCTGCCGCCATGAAGCCAGGTGAAAACTACGGTGAAGTGAGAGAAAGGAGGAGCTTCCAACTGTGTGTTCAGGCATCGAAATCAATCTTTTGTTTAAAAATACACCTTTTAAAATCTGGTACCTAACACTGTTTTTTTTTTTTTTAAATATTTATTTATTTTTTTCAGTTTTCGGCGGACACAACATCTTTGTTTGTATGTGGTGCTGAGGATCGAACCCGGGCCGCACACATGCCAGGCAAGCGCGCTACCGCTTGAGCCACATCCCCAGCCCCCCTAACACTGTTTTATATCATTTTCTGAAAAACTAAAACTTCTGAGATAGACAATTAAAATGAAGACAATTATTTAAAAAGGCATTTTGGAAGATAATAGAGCTAATGCTAAGATACGTTAAAACAACAAATTGAGTGATTTTTCCACAGCTGTGGAGTCAATTTTAACCTTTTCAGACTTTTTTTGTGAGTGATTAAAGAACTGTATCTTTACTAGAATACATTGGTAGCTTTCATTTAAAAACAACAGAAACCTCCCCTGGGTTATGACATCATGTAATAATTAAAAGCAATGTTCAAAAGGAACCTTCACATTAAATCTGAAATTCTCTAACAGACTGCCACAACATGAATACACTTGGTAGAGTCAGGACAAGGGAGGGACTGGAGTGAACACTGGACTAAACCTATGAATGTTAACTTAAAAAAATAAATAAATAAAAGTAGGAGGTGAGTTCCTTCAGTGAGCAAAGACGAATGCACTGGCAAATGAGACCTTCGCAGTGTGACCTGGGAAACAGCAATAGTCAAAAGCACCGTCAAAGAAGGATGGAAGCAGAGCCGATAACAGTGCGCAGTTCACTGCAGTAATCAAAACACTGGAAACAACACAGTTTATTTATTCTGGCCCCTCACCTCCTCTTCAACCTTTGCCACAAACCTAAAAGTCTATCTAAAAGAGCACTGGGGTTTGTCACTTTCTTTCGGAGACACCCAAGAGCTTTCTACTCAACCAGGGAGAAACCCAGCTTCTCTTGGTTTGTTTGCTGAATCTGGGAAACACAAAACACTGCTCTTTGGCCACAGCCCTGAGTCCCAGTCATGGTTAAAGAAGGAGCAGGAGCAGGTGACTTACTGTATGGCTGCGAAATGAGGTGAGGGGGCTGGACAGGAACCACCTGTGTGGCTGGGCCCACGGACGAGGGCTCATCCGCAGCAGTGCCTGACTGCTGGAAAGCCAGATCAATCTCTTCATCGGTCAGCCCTGGGGAGAAGAGCACAGAACAGCAGGTGAGTGAGGACCTTTGGGTCAGTGTCCACGGCTGCAACAAAATCTGTCTTGAGAAAAGGCCCCCGTGGCCAGAGTGCCTTGCTCCTACTACCAAGTTGCCTTCCCGATTTCGGATTCTCCAGAACCTCTCTCAGTTGCAATTTAACCTTAAGCGACAGAATATTAGCCTCAACACTGCTTCCAAATGTGGCTCATTCAATTTCCTTAATTTATCCTTGAGTTTATTGCTGCTTTTGAAGTCGCTCCGTACTGCAATTCTCCATTCTTCCCCCGAAAACAGATACCATCAACTGCAAATGTGGCTCATTTTAATCTGTAATGGTGTTAAAAAAAGAGGGGGAAAAACTAACAATAATGCATGAAAACAGACAGGGAAACAAAAAACTAATTATTGGGTGAGACGACTAATTAGTCTAGATCGTTTCCGAAGACGGGAATAATTTGCTTTATTTTATGACAAATGCAGAAATAAAAAGAAAAATCAGGACTGACTGTGATTAGTATGAATGGGATATAGAATGTAAAGAAGAAAATAAAACAAGAAAACAGATCAAAACAAGGCCAGGCCCAAACTTTCAGATGATTATTGCTCTAGCCTGTCACAGGCTGCCTGGATCGCCTTTGGCTAGTTTTTCTTTTCCTTTTTTTTTTAAATTCTCCTAACACTCTAAACCACACTGCACTGGAACAGCAGGAAATAGCAGGGCGCCATCTGCAGTGGCTCTAACACGTGGAGAGGATTTACCCGTGGAGGGGTAAAAGGCAAGTGAGAACCCACGAAGACCCCGTGTGTTTCCAGTGGGGGTTGACAGGTCTGAGACTGACTGGTGATGCTGACCCTAGGCTGGAGGATGAGGGTGCCAACCAACCCACAGAACAGGAATGACATGTGGTGCCCAGAACAACTCTCCCACAGGGCCCACCTGGGAAGTACTGAACCACAGTGGGGGGAAAGCAGGTGGGAGGTCACTGCTAGTCTGCAGACCACTTGGGCCAGCCTGTGCTGTTCCGGGAATCCCACTATTCAGGCGAGCCGCAGCACAGAGCTTTTAAACCAGAGCCGAGAGTTTTTCCACATCTGGTCAGCAGCTCTCCATTAGAGAGCCCACAGCATGGTACACCTGCCCCTGGGGGTAGATGAAGTATGAGGCGGTTCTGAGGATCAGCATCTTCAAAGCGTGGTGCCTGGCACACTGTGCCTCGGGGCTAATAGACGGTGCACATTAGTGCTTTCGAGTGCAGCTCTGCCCTGCACCACGTTGGTGTGTGCCGGCTGCAGCCATTCCTCAAACTCCTCAGGCCCTCCCACAATCGGTCAAGGGAGTGCCCGTGCTGTCTGGAATGGCCCAGGACCATTTTTTTCTTTTCTCTGCACTGAGTGGATGAGGTCTGTCTCCATTTAAAACAGCTGCTCTTCCCCTCTTTCCACACACAGCTAGTAAGGAGCAGAGAAGGCCCCCCCTGCAGGAAACTGATGTGCTATTGGGTGGCCCCTGACAGCACTTGCTCTCCCCAGATTAAGGGAAAGATGACAAAGCTCCAAGAGTACCACTCACTGGCGCTTACCACCTTCCCAGTACAAGAGGCTAGAGCTGAACACACTGGGGCCAGATGGGCCTTGGTCCTCCCTGCCTCCCCAGCTGGCTGCAAAGGGGCTAATTTTCCCATCATTTCTCTTCCCAAGCATACCAAGGACAGGACAGACGGACAAGCCAGGCAAGAGTAGAGGACCTTCTTCTCCAGAGCTTTGCCTTTCAGCCTCTCACAGCGTAAAGACTGCAGATCGTGCTTCCTAAATAGGAAGGGCACCCCTCTCCAAGTGCTGGGAAGGGAGACATTGTTTTAACCAGTTCATAATCGGCCACTAGAGAAGAAAGCAGCATCTGCGACGTCAGCACAGTCTGCTGGTCACTGGCACACTATGGAATTCTGTAAACCTGGTGGCTGGTGTGCCTTGTCAGCCGCTGGTTGCAAACGAGGATAATTTTCCCAAAAGGAGCATTCGGTTGCTTTCTCATTTTCCCTTTTGGCTCTTTCAAATATAAACAAGTACAATAATGTTTAACGCTGGGGAAATATACAGTAAGTCACAGGCTGTGCCGTGGCCCTGGGAGCTGGAGCTGGTTAAAGGCACAGGACTCCCTGCCCATTGCTCTGCCCTCTGGCCCTGAGCTTTTGCGAAGCCTATTTTCCTAATAAAACATGTTCCTTGCGTTATCACAGTCCAGTCCACCAAGGAGGCTGAGGTTTAAAGGGCATCAGCACTTCCTTCCAAGCTCTTGTTTTTCAGAAACCTTATCATTTGATGCTCTAAATTTACATGGGCTGCAATTCTGATATCCCTATTTCTCCGAGAGTCAGAGCTCTGATTTCGTTATAATAAATGAGTCATTTTTCCTCTTTTAAAAAATAAGCATTTTAACAAGCTCACTGGATAATATAATTTCAGAGCTGGAGCATTATTCCAGCCACTGCTCTCTCTAGGGATAAAAATCCAAGGTCCAAAGAAGGTGGAAACTGCCCCACATCATACTTGTTCTAGAAAATGATAATGCTAGTACCAACCCCCAGATGTCCATCTCCAACCCTGTTACAAAAAATCAGGTGACCATCCAGAAGTTATGTTTTAAGTCTTCAGTCTGTTAAAGAGGGTCAGAGGAGGATTCCACTTGTCACCACCCTAGGGACCCCCACCTACAAGTGAGAGCCAATAAATAGTTCAGGGGCTACACTGAAAAAACTCAGAAACTTAATTTTGGGGTTCTATTTGCAAATGACACCCCGGGCAACTTTATGAACGACAGAGTGGAAAAGGCAGAGCGTCCTCGTCCTTGATGTGTTCTAAGACCCAAACCCTAAATCCAATCCAGGCACCATTCACAAACTGGTGCCTCTGATTCCAAGTGCCCTCTTCCTCTTGAGTGTCCTCAATGTAGACAGGACTGGCCAGCTTCAAGACTATTTATAGGACTCAGGTAGTTCATCTGGGACTTACAGAGACAGTGGGGACACTCACCTTTCCCCACATCACAACTAGTTACCTACCCGGTCACGTGGTACACAGAGGACCCCACTTTTTGGAATAAGATGCTACCAAAGGACCAAGTGCCCTAGTCCCATCTTTCCCACCCATCTCTGCAGAGATAAACAGTGCAGATCTTTGATTGAGACCTTGCAGAATCCAAAAGGTTAAAAGGAATAATAAAGGAAACTGCCAATTGTAAGTGAATTATATTTGGCTCTGAAAGCTGAGGCACAAGCTATATTATAAAAGGCATCTCTTTGCGTTGTTTACCATCACCCTGACTAATGCAGACTTTTTTTTTTTTGTTTTAAATAATCTCATGCAAATTAGACACACACACTTCCTTCCAGTTGATTGCTATCTGCAAGGAATAATCTAACCACAGAGGGACTGAGCAATGTCTGAGGAGCAGAGCAGAGAGACGGGAGCAAAGGATTTCACTGTCCAGTGGCATGTAAACCTCCTCCCCTCCCCATCTGCTTAAGACTTCCTTTAGCTGCTGCCTTTGGAAGAATTAGTCCATTTTGATAAAGCCTAAAATGTTCTCTTAGTTGAGGTGTCAACTTGCATTATCTGATACCACTAGCACTTAGCATTTAGATGGTCTTCCAGTAACTTCCCTTCTGCCACTCCATGATTTTCAAGAGCTACCACCTCCCAACACAATCTGTAGTGATGACAATTAAAATATATTATTGATAGAGAATAGCACTAAGAAAGTCCTGCTCAGTTATTCCACTCACTTACTAGCATTAGCTAAGAGGAGGAGGAAGGGACAAGGGAGCAGGAAAAGCAGGATGCTGGGCTTTGACTCTGAGAGGCAGAGAGTGCCACCTCACCTGCCAGCACCACAGCTGCCTGATCTGCAAAACAGAGAGCTAGTTCACTTTCAGGATGCGGGAAGTACCCACGCACTCCGCCAGGGTGGACGTCCTGCTCCCTCAGTCCTCTACACTCTACTTCCAAAAATGTCCAGAGAAGTTAGTTCCCTTCACCAGATGTCTGCGGTCCCTGTGCAGACACTCAGCCAAGGATTCCTTCTCCAACACTTTCTTCAGGGTGGGCTGCTTTTGAAAGAACAGAGCAAGTGGTGACATCCTATTGATCAATAATGTAGGCTTTCACTGCCATCTGAACCAAATGCCTCAGGGTGGCCACACCTGCCTATTTTTATCCCCTAATATGTAAACAAATCTGTTTTCTTTTTCTAAAGGTTTCTGTTCAAGTGAAAACAAAACCAAAGGGATGGAGGTGAGCTGCACCCTCCTGGGAGGAGCTTGATGCCCCCACGACTCAGGCCAAACCAGACACCAGAAGGGGCAGTCTTCTTTTTCTGTAGGATAGGCTGCACAAGGGCTTCTCAGAACAAGTAACTTCAACACTGTCCTCAATGACTGCTGGGCACTGCCTAGGCCGGGCCCTATGCAGGTGAAGCAAAAAGACAGATGACAGAAGATAGCAGCGTCCTCTGCATCTTTCAGGTCCAACACCAGGTGAGAAAAGGTTTGGAAATGTGCAAAGTAATGAACGCCTGGCAGCAGCCTCCAGCCCAGGCTGAGCTCATAATAAAACTGTGGAGGATCTGGCTGAGACAAGGGCACAGGCCCCAAAGCCACAGCAAAGGACGGGAAACTCGGCCACTGTCCTCTTGTCCACTCCCTCCATTTCTAGGACTTGGGCAATGCATCTGGGACTCACAAAGGTTGAGCAGAGGGGTCACCTCTCTTAGAACACAACTAGTCACCTGCCCCAGCACTCTCTGGGAGGACAGAAGGCAGAGAAGACAGCTGGCTGAAAACACTCCCCAAATTAAAAGAAACATCAACTCTCCCAGAAGAGGTTTGGGGAGGGGAAAGGGAAAAAGTATTTTTATTTTATTTTATTAACATTTTGTTGGAACAGTAGAGTACAATAAGGACTCTCAGAGCCTCTAAAAGTCGTTGGATGA